GTCCTCTGGTGAGTATAAATAAATAAATAAATAAATAAATAAATAACAAGGCTTATTGAGACATTCAGTGCCTTTTCATCACATTCTGAAATATGTTTTGCTGGTATATCTAGTAAGAATATACAGAGATTCCTCCCTACCCTTGTGAAGTCACTTCAGTCTCTTACCTTTGAAGGGTACAGCTAGTTATATGTGTTATTTTCTTATCTCTTGGAAAACATTGTGAAACAGCTGAGCAGGCAAAGAAGCAGGCCGTGGAAAAGGAACTGCAGTTGGGGAGGCAGACATTGAACGAACTCCAGCAAAAAATGGAGGCGCAAGAGAAAATCTTTCAGGAAAACCTACTGGAGATGAAGAAGATGAAGACAGAAATAGAAAGCCAACTGAGAAAGCAGGAAAGAATGCAAAAGCAAAATCAAAGGGTAAGTCTGGGTAGGGTGTTGGTAAAACCTAAAGGACACCAACCTGGCTCCTCATGAAGGGAAGGACAAAAATTTAACTAAAGTCATAAACACTCAAGGAAACACAAAGACATATGATTCAGTGAAATGTCCAGTTAATGGGATCATTCTAAGGCCCTAAGTCTTTGAGTCTGGGCACCTTGTGTGGAATTAGAGCTTGGAAGGTACAATTGACATGCCTCAGGCTACTGGACTGGGTTTGTAGTGAATATAGGGCCTCACTATGCCCTCAAGTGAATGGACTTTAGTTTATAGGATGTTTGATGCACCCACTAAAAAGACCTGATATAGATCCATCTGTCCTAAAGGTATCAGATTGTACATGATATGAAATATGAAATAATGAAAGCTCTAAAATTTGTTACATTAGTTTCCAGATCAACCTGCTTTATTCTATAAAACTAGAATGCAATGCATTCTTTGTCCCAACCTGGAGTTTGATAACCAGTGTTCTCTAGGATCAGCAGTTCCCATTAGTTGTTACCTGTGTTGTCATCCTACTTCAATGGAACTAAGAAATAATCAGAAATAAACCCCATTCTTCCCAAAGAGCATCCTTAGGGCTGGAGCCAATTCCTAGGATAGTTGTCAGGCCTAACCTAGTCCCAACCCATCCGCATCCCAGTGAGATGATAAGGAAGGTGTAAATCATGGATATTCTCACTTCACTTTTCCAAACATTTGGAAATATTGACAAACTCATCAAAGAGCATGTAAGTTAGTAGAGAAATAAAAAAATGTGCTTAGTTCCTGACATTGTTAAATACAAAGTACTGATAATTGAGGATTTTTCAAAGGGAATGCTCTCCTTTTTACAGACCCAAGAACTACCTATGAAAGAATTTAAAGAGATATTTGAGGTCTTGGTTGGGTTAATCAGTGGTTAGAGTGCCATCCTGAAAGGCCAAGGTTGCAGGTTTGATCCCCAGTCATGGCACATACAAGAATCAACCAATGAATGCATAAATAAGTAGAACAACAAATGATGTTTTTCTTTTTCTCTTTCTCCCTCTCTCTCTTGTTATCTTAATAAATATATAAACAACATATAAAGATGTTAGAAGAAATTGTTCAAAGATTAAATAAACTGGAAAAAGATATTAAAGAACAGGAAAACGTCACTTCAAAGATCTTCACTGTGCTTATCTCGGTGTTGCCTTCAGCAATCACAGCAGGACTATTTGGATTAAAAAAGTATTTCTGAAATCTGGTGAGAATTTTTCCTAAGTATCTTATAAAAGGCTTCTTACATTTTATAGCATAAGACTGTAGAGCATTTTGAAAACTAGCAAAATTATACTTTCATTTAAGAAAAGTTTAATAATACTGATTTAAAAGAATATCAGGGTCTGATATTCAAAATAAAAGGCACAGTTTTAGGATCTAGTGTAGAAGACACTGTCTGAGGCAGAAGGGCATAAGGACACCATATGAACCACTTCTTCTCTTTTAGGAACTGGGCAGTTTATGTGCTCCGAATTTCTCAAACTTCTCTATGACAATTACCCAGCAATGAAGCTGTCACCTCTGTCTCTCAATGAAATTACAATGTTTAAAATGATTAAGCAAAGAGAATATATTTGTCAATGCTACATCTGAAAAGGGGTTAATATCCAAACTCTATAAAGAATTATACAACTCAATAACAAAAAACGAACAGTGGAACAAGGACCTGAATAGACATTTTTCCAAAGAGGACATACAGATGGTCAATAGACATATGAAAATATTCTCAACATCACTAGTCATCAGAGAAATGCAAATTAAAACCACAGAGAGGTACACCTCATAACTTTTACAAAATCTATCATTAATAAATAAATATGGGGGGAAAGGAGGACCTATACTTTCAACAATAAAGATTTTTTAAAAAGTTAATGACATTAAAATAAACAAACAAAAAAATAAAACAGGCAAAATGAGATTCAGAATGATGGTTGCTCTTGGGGTGGAGGGTGAAAAAGGGTTATGTTTGGGAGGGGGCACGCGGAAAGTTTCTGGGGGTGGGTGGCAAGGTCTGGCCTTCAGATATGGGTGTTTGCTTTATTATGGATCAGCAATCTGTGCATTTGTTTTATGTGGCTTTCTGTATTTGTGCTGTTTTGACAATAAAAATTTTTTTTAAATAAAAACAAACATAAAGTATTGCTGAGGATGTGGAGAAAAGAAAACCATGTGCATTGTTGTTGGGGAAGCAGATTGGTACAGCCACTGTGGAAATTGCCTTTCAGAGTTTTCTTGTATTTCCTTGAGTTTTGTCAGAAAAGCAATCTTGAATTCTCTGTCATTTAAATCTCAGTCTTTCATGTTTTTAATTTTATTTTCTGGTGTGAGGGAGAGTATGCGAGGGTATGAGTTTGGGTGAGCATCTGTCAGTGCAGGACCTCCAGGTGGGCAGTTCGGGTGCTCTGGTGCAGGAGCTGCAGACCAGAGCCCAGCGCTGTCCCACTGGCACTTCTCTCCACCTGAGGTTGGAGAGTGCGCGATTTTGAAGGAGCCCCAGGGTCCTCCACAGGAGGTGGCAGCCGGAAGCAGACGTGCCTCAGCACCCCTAGGCCACAGACAGGCACGTAGGGCCCCACCACTGGGACCCAAAGCTCACAGACACACATAGCCATGATAGTGACCCATCCCACCTAAAGCATGGCCTCAAGACAACCAGCCCCACTACCTTGATCGGTGGTGGGCAGGTCCTGCCCAGCCACGTGGGTGAGCAGTGCCTATTCCCAACCCCTCCACCCTGACCCCTTCACCAAGGAGCATTCAGCCATGTCCCTCCTTCACAAGTGGAATGCCCAACTCACCCTGCCCGCTTGAGGGGGAGTGTGCCTGACCTGCCAGATGCATGCACCTACTGCCCCATCTAGGCCCACCCAACAGGAACCCCAGGAAGACTGTCCTCACCATCTTAATATAGGGCCACTGTGATCCAACACCCCCAGAAACATGGACCTTCTATCGCTACCCATTGAGCATGACCTGGTGCCCGTGAACAACCAGCCCCACCACCTTGCAAATATCCAGTAGCCATGATCTGACAGCTTTTTAATTTAATTAGATGGAAAGTTTTTTTTAATTTTGAAAAAGCTACTATTCATTTTTCTTGAGTTACTAATAAACTAGTATCATGAGAGGATAATCTCATATGTGAGTTAATGAATGAATAAAGTTGCTTTCTGCTTAGACAGACACAAAATATTAACTACAGTAGAAATTAAGAAAAATGCCAAATATAGGGAATAAAAGTAAGATGAATATTAAATGCAGAGCAAATAATATGTTAGATGCATATGAGAGTATATTTGTATGAATGTTAAAAGTTGAATA